CAGGGTGTCCCAAAAATGTCTCGCAATCCGGAAATGGCGGGTTTCTCGGATCATTTGAAGCAACTTCTTCCTTTACAAAAATTTTCTCCGAGCCACCGTTAACGAGTTATTAACGAAAAACAGTGACCAATAAGAATCGAGTACGGCTGACGCGAGGCGGCCCAGTCAACCAGCGCGCGAAGCCCAGTTCCGCTCATTGGCTCGGTCGCCTCGCGCCAGCTGAGTTGGGATTCGACCGCCTCGACCGCTGGCGCCGTTGGCTCGGCCGACTCACGCCAGCTGAGCTGGGATTCGACCGCTCGACCGCTGGCGCCGTTGGGTCGGCCACCTCGCGGCAGCTGATCTCTGTTCTCACTGTTTTCCGTTAATAACTCGTTAACGGTGCCTCGGAGAAAATTTTCGTAAAGGAAAAAGTTGCTTCGAATGACCTGAGGAATCCGCCACTTTCGGATTGCGAGACATTTTTGGGACACCCTGTATATTCATTCTATTCCAAACATTATCCCAACGTTCGTCGATTCTCCGTGAGACACAGAGCGAATCCTAATCCAGAGTCAATTAAGATCGTACATGTACGTCGTACGATACGAGTATGTGGGTGAAGGATGCGGACCATGAATGCGTTGCTTGCGGCACCATCGACGACCACTCGGGACTGGGCGATGGTGCGTGATTAACAATTAAAAAGAAACGCGGTCGGTGGAAAGGGGAAACGGGGATTTTTTCTGGTGGTTCATCGCGGGGTTCAGCATGCTACGGCGATATCGTCCACCTCCAAACACGACTGGACGGAGCGATATCTTAACTCGAGGAGCGACGGGTCCTCGACGAGGAGTTCTCTCAAGGTCCGAAATGAAAACGACGCTGGACGATTTTCGCGGTGAAATATCGAGCGGCCTTGTTCATCCTGCGAACGCGAAACCGAAACACCGTTTTACCGTCGATCGTCTTTCACTTACCGTGGAGAGGCCCGGTTACGTTGATCAGCGCTCCCGCCTGTAACACCGTAAACTGGTTTTCGATTTTCGTTCGATTTGCTTTTGTTTCGGCAGATCGCCGCGGAGAAAGCGAAGACTGGTTTGACCTACCTGCGCGTAACATGTTTTGATTTATTCCAACGCGAACCGTTCCGACACGTTCTTTCAGTTTTAATGCCGCAGCCTCGTGAATACGTTACGAACGGACGAGATGCGCTTGCTCGGCTAATAATGAAACAGGGTAGCAGAGCCAGTTACTGCGGGGTGGCCAATTGTGTACCGTGCCTTTTGTTTATTTTCATACATAATTATGAGATCTTTTTATTTGAATGCAATTAATTGTTTACGTATGAAATCTTTTTATTTGAATTCAATTCATCATTTACGTGTGAAATTGTCTGATTTGAATTCAATTCATTATTTGCGTATGAAATCTTTTCATTCGAATTCAATTACTTATTTACGTATGAAGATTTGACATTTGAATTCAATTAATTATTTACACATGATATCTTTTCATTTGTGTGTGAATTCGATTAATTATTTACACATGAAATCTTTTCATTTGTGAATTCGATTAATTATTTACACATGAAATCTTTTCATTAGAATTCGATTAATTATTTACACATGAAATCTTTTCATTCGAATTCAATGAATTATTTACGTACGAAGACTCGATATTTGAATTCAATTAGTTATTTATTTGTTAAAATTAAACATGCAAAAAACGGAAGTTCTCAAGATACCAGAAAGAATTATTTCAATTTTTTTCTGCCGAATTCGCGAGACTTTCTGTAAAGCTTATGAAAAAGCTTAAGAAAATACTGAACGACTGAAGCGGCTGCGATAGTTAAGAACGTTCGTGACGAGAGCTTCCAGGATAGAATTCCAGGGAAGGGAAAGGAAATGGAATGAAATGAAATGAACGGCGATTTTTCGACGAGGAGTCCCGGAGGACGACCGAAGATCTTATTTCTGGACGAAATTACGTAAAACTAAATGGTCTTCCGCCTTGCAATTACTGGAATATTGATTTCTTCGAAAGGATCCATTTCCCCTTCGATGAGCGTTACGAGCGGAGACTTTTCTCGTCCTGTCTCTGAACCGTAATGCTTTGCTCCGTTAACGTTGGAAAATGAGAAACAAGAAAAAGATTAGCAGCTTCCGATCGTACTAAGGGGCAATTGCACTGCAAAATTCCACATAGACTGGCGACACGCGACAGCCGCGCAGTAAACAGTAAACGATAAACTGGTTCTCCATTCGTTCTAGAATCGACTCGGAAGGGAAAAGAAATGAAAAAACGTTCACAGCTCTCTCCGTAACGATACCAAATTATGTCACCTGTTCACCGCAGCTAATCGCTTGATCGACGCTTTTTTCCAAACACCGACAGAAAATCGTTCGATTTTGTTTTGCCCCTATCCGGTGCACGGGGGGGAGCATAGATAGCGAGTTGTGACACACAGTAGTCGCGCAACCATCGCAGCACGATTGACTCGTACGGAGTACAGTAAATTCTCCCGAATTGTCTCTCAGCTTGAAAACGAGAGTGGACAACTTGAGAAGACTAGACAGGATGGTTCGAGTCTCGCGGCTTGCTTTTATAGTTGCCGACATCTCGTGAGAGAGAGAGAGAGAGAGAGAGAGAGAGAGAGCAGAGAGACAGAGAGAGAGAGAGAGAGAGCAGAGAGACAGAGAGAGAGAGCAGAGAGACAGAGAGAGAGAGAGAGAGAGAGAGAGAGAGAGCAGATAGATAGAGAGAGAGAGAGCGAGAAAGAGAGAGAGAGGAAGAGGGAGAGATAGAGAGAGACAGAGAGAGAGAGAGAGAGAGAGAGAGAGGAAGAGGGAGAGATAGAGAGAGACAGAGAGAGAGAGAGAGAGAGAGAGAGAGAGAGAGAGAGAGAGAGAGAGAGAGAGAGAGAGAGAGAGAGAGAGAGAGAGAGAGAGAGAGAGAGAGAGAGAGAGAGAGAGAGAGAGAGAGAGAGAGAGAGAGAGGAAGAGGGAGAGACTGAACGAAAATCAGGGTAGTCGGTAAACTTAGAAGCCAGCGGCCAGCATAAATAATGCCACAATAATGCTAGAATAAAACCGATTCTTTCACTTTTTAATTTCTAATTTTTTATACATGAAAATTTCTTCAATATGGAGTAAATTCTCTCTGATTATTCTTTAGCTTGTAAACAAAAAAATGGATAATTTGGGAAGCGAGGATACGATTATTCGAGATTCGCGGCACGTTTTTATAATTGCCGATTGTTAACAATTATGAAAACGAGCCGCGAGGCACGAATAATCGTAACTCCTTTTTCCAAATTGTCCATTTTCGTTTACAAGTTGAATGACAATTGGAGAGAATTTACTGTATCGGGAGATTTTTCCGATTAAAATGAGACGGAACGCGACATGCTTTAGATCATTTTTATGCAGCGATGGGAATGGAAAAAGAGGAATTAACGAATTGCACGATAAATATTAAATAAATCAATGTAATCGAGATTATATCGTGTTGGATTTTATTTGAATCAGAAACATCTGATTAAACGCTGTATCACGTTTGGTCTCATTTCAATCAGAAAACTATCAGCAATATCTGAAGACAAAATCGAGCTTTAAAATGTTAAAATGAAAAAAGTTATGCCATTGTACTACAAATTGTCGTTCCGGGAATTCTAGTCGAAGTAGCCGTTTCCAACGAACCCTGGCATAGGCGTAGAAATAACGTATATGCGTAGGAATAACACAGGGACAATGCGAGCAGACGTCTAACAGGAAAATTGTGGGAGAATTTACTGTACACAGTAAACGCTTAGTCAGCCTCGGGCTTGTCGCGTCGATTAGTTTTCTATGCCACCGTCTCCTCCATTGGCCCGTGCACCGTTTTCACTTGGCCGTGCAACGATTCTTCCGCACCGCCGCGATCCTTCGCGACACCCTTGCGATCCTCCGCGCGCGCCCTTCCCGGCCAGATATAACAAACAGTGTTCATTAAACCTTTCAGTTGTTGTCCAGTTCCGTGAAATCGTGGCTCGAGCTCGTTACGAGCCAAATGGCAGCCTGGATCGTCTCGTTTCTGCGGTTCCTCAGGCTTCTCTTCTTCGCGTAGGAAAGCCTCGTCGCGACGGTTTGCCTCCTCCTCCCCGTGGTCAGTGTACGATCGTTTCTTGCTCGGCGCGTGGTAAGCTTAGCGAGCGACCTTGAGAACGCCTCCTCCTGTCGACGGAGATCTCGTCGAGACCGTGGCACACTAACAGAGCCCTCCCTGCTCGAGCTTGCGGAGCCGGCCTTACTCTCGCCGGTTGGTCCCGACTATCTTAAAACGGAGCACTTTGAACGACCCTTTCAGGTGAAGAAATCGGCCTCGACCACGGCACTCTTCGCCGAAAGATCGAGGCTCAAGCTGGACCTGGCTAGGAGGTTAGTGAAGCCAGAGTTGAACATCGAGGAGAATGATCTCGACGCAACCACGGCCTCCTCCTCTTTCAGCAAACTGAAACCGAAACCGAATCCAAGTCCGAATCCGAATCTGAATCCGAATCCGTATCCGAAAGCGAAACCGACCGACGGGACGAGCAAGCTGCCCGAGTTCGCCAAGCCTGGCCCGCCGGGTCGCAGAGCTTCCACAGAGAGCTCGCAGGAAGACCAAGCGAAGTCCTCGGAGCTTACCGGGCCGAGGAACGGTCTCGAGGATCCTTCGAAGATCGCCTCTAGGCCTACCGGCGCCAAGAAAGGGAAGATCATAGCCGAGAGGATGGTCACTTCGATCTCGGTCGAGGAGAGGGTGGAGGACACCACGAAACCCTTCCGGCCAGGCCCCTCCTCCGCCCTCACCGTTTCCACGAAGGAAGCGTCGGCTACCACTCAGGACACTGCCAAGGTCCATCCGACCAGCCGCGGTACCAAACGATCCAAGGAAGAAGGCTCGCCGATCGGCAAGAACGCCAGAACCTACGACCACATCACCACCTTCAAGCCCAAGAAAGCGTACGCCTATCGGTCGCGCGGTAGAAACACTCAGGAGCAATCAGCGACCCCCGTCCCCGACCCTACCACCGCAACCACCGGCAAGACCCTAACGAAGGGGACCACCAAGCTGACCTCGAGACAAAAGCTGTCGGACGGCCCCAGCGAAGAGATCGTCGCGAAGAAGTCAAAGTTCATCGAGAGCGCTACCAAGCCCACCTTCCGGCCCCGGTACAGCAAGAATCCCAAGGACCGGACCACGGCAGAGAAGGCGGAGTACCAGGGCCCGACGAAGCTTCCGCTGGCCACCAGCAGATACTCGAGGAAAAAAGCCGCCGTGAAGACCACGGAATCGAAGCCGAAGCCGACCAGCACCGAGAGACCAGCCACGCAGACCAAGAAGCTCGAGTTCAGGCCCAGAACCGCTACCTATAGGAGGCACTCCGATGTCCCGACCACGGCGGTAGAGTCGACCACCAGAGTCGAGAGCACCGGAGTCGCCATCACTCCGCGATCGCCCAAGTACACCGCCGCGCCGATGACGTCCGCCGCGCCGGCTCCATCGGTATCGCAGGAACCCCAGCTGAACCTGATGATCGCGAACGATACGCGGCAGCCGAACGATACTGGCATTACCGGCAGCAGCAACGGCGACAGCGGCAACACGAACATCTTCAACCCAACCAGAACCGCGTATATCACCGCGAGCAACGCCTCGCTGCTCGAACAGCTGCGAAGCACCGTGGCGCCGCTGCTTAACTCGCTTGGTAACAAGACGCCGGTGTTCTCCAGCGCTTACAGTAACGTTAACAACGCGGTAATTCTCCTTTTATTATTCGTTCTAAGTCGATTTTCCTCGGTTGCTCTTCGAACATCGAGAAATACTCTCTTCCGTGTCTCGGGTTCTATCTCTCTTGGTACAGGATCGCGGAAATCTCCTTCGAGATGTTCCAGTTGGATTTTGATTTTCTGACATTTTACTCGGAATGGTTTTTAGACGTTTCATTCCGCGAGCGGAGCTAACCCTTCACACTCGAAACTGGCTCCGAAACCGAGGAGTCTTTCGCCGCGTACGGGATTTCCACGTTTCGTTTCGTTTTTTGCATGTTCTGCATACGACGTTAAATCGAACTCGATAATAAACTCGTATTTACGGTTTCAACGAATCGATAAAGTGAATATTATTTCGAGAAAACGATGCCTGAATCTTTAATCGCTTTTCGGAGGCGCCGTTCGAGTGCGAAGGGCTGATAAGGGATAATTGAATCTAGAGTTGGAGGATAAAAAAATCTTTGCTGGATAATTAAATAACTCTTTCTTAACTTTATTCGAAGAAGGTAAACATCTTGTGGTACATTACAGAGCATCGAAAATCCGCGATTTGACACTATTTTTACCAACTTTTCGTATACGGTGACCCACAATAGTGTTCGTGCACCCTTTAAAGTGCAATAATTTTTTCAAAACTGAACTGAACGACTTGAATTCTTTTTAGATGATAGATGGTCTAGTCTACTAGACGATGACTGAAATATATATTTTTTTTAACTTTGCTGTTGCTTGGAATGACGAAAAATAGAAATCTCTTGTTTTTTTATCTTTTTTATCTGAGTCTATATCGAAAATTTGAAAAATGTCTTTCGTAGATCTCGGTATCAAAATTCGTTCACGTTTATTACGAGTTATAATAAATTAAAGATCGCAAAAATCGCAGTTTTATCATGATTTTTATCAAAAATTGTAAGAGATCTGCTGTTTTTAAAATCCTTCGACGCCTGTAGCTCGACTCTAAGTTAATCGATTTCGTGCATATAAGTTATCGAGATCTACAAAAGGCACTTTCTAAGTTTTCGCTATAGGCTCAGATAAAAAAGTTAAAAAACAAGGATTTCTAATTTTTTCTTTTCGTTGCAAATAATAGCAAAATTAGAACAAAGCATATCAGTCTAGTAGATTAGTCCCTCTATCATCTAAAAATGAAAATTCAAGTCATTGGTTCAATTTTGAAAAAGTTATTGCGTTTTAAAAGATGTACGAACACTTTTGTGGGCCACTGTACGTTTATATTTGCCAAATGTATTTTACAATCGTCACTACGAATATACTACGATACAAATAGATTCGTAAACTTATTTACTTATTTTTTGAGCATACATGAGAAGTTACCCATTAACTATAATATTACAAAAAGAAACTACGAGAATAAGTTCAAATTTAAGAAGTAAATCGCTCTCGCTCCGTTTGGTAAAAATAGTGTTAACGTTCGTGGTCCCGTTACTGGCCAGTAAAAAATGTGGTTAACACTATCGCGCGTTGAATGCAAAGTGCAGCACGCGAGTAGTACGTTTCGAATAACTGGATAAACGCAGCCGCGAATGGGAGTGCGGGTACACGAACGGGTAGCGTAACTTGAAATAGGATAGTGGACGATTAACCTTTTAGGCCCGACGCGCTACTATAGTGGCTTTCGCGGATGTCATCTCTCTGGACGACGCGCCACTATAGTGGCCTGCTCTAGTAGCTCACTCGCTCGTCGTTTGAATCAAATAATCGTCTTCATATGCATTGTTTCACACTTCTTTTGTCTTCACATCGATTTACAACAGTCTACAGGGTGTCCCAAAAATGTCTCGCAATCCGGAAATGGCGGGTTCCTCGGATCATTTGAAGCAACTTCTTCCTTTACAAAAATTTTCTCCGAGGCACCGTTAACGAGTTATTAACGAAAAACAGTGACCAATAAGAATCGAGTACGGCTGACGCGAGGCGGCCCAGCCAACCAGCGCACGAAGCCCAGTTCCGCTCGTTGGCTCGGCCGCCTCGCGCCAGCTGAGCTGGGATTCGACCGCTCGACCGCTGGCGCCGTTGGCTCGGCCGACTCACGCCAGCTGAGCTGGGATTCGACCACTCGACTGCTGGCTCGGCCACCTCGCGGCAACTGATCTCGCCTCTCATTGGTCACTGTTTTTCGTTATTAACTCGTTAACGGTGCCTCGGAGAAAACTTTTGTAAAGGAAAAAGTTGCTTCAAATGGCCTGAGGAACCCGCCACTTTCGGATTGCGAGACATTTTTGGGACACCCTGTATATACAGACAGAATATACAGTATCAGACTCTGTACAGTACACATCAGACTCTGCCGTCCAGAGAAATAGCCTCGCGCAGAATTCAGCCATACCTAAAAGGTTAACATTCGATTGGTAGTAACGTCATTTGAAAAAGTGATCCGAGGAAAATGTTGGGGACTGTCGGATGGACCATGCTCACGTCTCTGCTATCGTTTGCGAACAGAATTCGGGTCCTAGGATCACACCGAGCGGATCGCCGCCGCGATTCAGTGCGAGATACAAGGGCGCCGAATTGTTTGTCAGGAAGCAGAACAACGGCTACCAGCCCACCGTGCCATCGATCACCAGCTCGTCCACCACTCCAGTGACCCCTGTAGAGGTAAGATCATTATCACCTCGAATTATTCTTTCACGTGAACCAACAATATTCTATCAGAAATATCTGGCCAAGCTACGATTCCAGGACAAATTGCCAATTCGACTTCGAAAGAACAGTTTGCTCTTGCCAAAATTATTCTTATAGGATACTTTGTGTTTCGATTTAGCCTGTTCCATTACAGCGGTTTAGATAGGTCGACGAGACGAGACGAGGGTATACCCGAACGTACGTAGATTCGATTGAACAAAAAAAAAAGAAAAAAGAAAAACAGAAAAAAAGCAAGTTTATCGAACGAACGGGACGCGTTTAAAAAAAATTACGGAACGCAACCCGTGTGAAAGAAACAGACACAGAAACAGACGGTGTCGCTAATTGCGGAGGTAAGATTACGTGGACGGAAGAAAGTCGAAGCTAACAGTGAGTCAGTGTGGTCGTTTTTTGTGTGCTTCAAAGGTTTTCACCACGAAGATGTCCGAGGAGATGGAAGCGGTCGCGCCACCGTCTTGGACCGACCGGATCGGTGTCATCGCAACCACGTCAGGAAATCTCGATTCTATTGACGTAGACACAAATAATTTGCGTTGAACGAGTCGTTCGAGTCGCGCGCACACCGCCATACACGCCATCAACCATTAATCATTACCAATGTTTCTTCTCATCGATTATTCCAGGAATTTTTGCCGTTCCCGAAGAGTTATTACCGCTATATACGACTAGTTTTCCGTACTCTCTTATCTTCTAATCTTTTCTCCAACAGTGCTTAATAACGATTGATTTCGCAGGATATATGTACACGACCGATAATAACATCGTCGCCGGTGTCGATCGCACAACAAACATCATCGTTGTGAATAATTCTCGAACAACAACAACAAAGTACAGTAGAATCCCACGTTGATCGATAAAAACGCAGATAAACCGTGGGGATAACAGAAAATCAATAAAAAAAAAATGAAAAATTAAAACAAACAAAAAAAAGGAAAACACCTAACCAATAATTTGTGATTAACGTTGTCTAGTTCGTGATTCGTGGTATCTTTGTCTCTTGGGCTCCCGTAGACTAATATGTACAGGCACTTACGTTTGTCGCTATCAACATAAATATAAATATACTGTATCATACTGTATATATTCATATAGCATATGGATATTATATATATATATATATACACGCATATACAACTTTGGTAATAAATGTTCTGCTTTCTGGATTGCACGCGACACGCAGTTGTTCGTTCTTCTCGAAACTCTTAAACGCGTCCATGACTTATATTATACAGCGGAGGCACTCTTATCCGAACGGTTATTTTCGTGACATCCTGATACCAAAACATTCTATTGTCTAACATATTCGTCATTCGAGTTCACTACCAGATGATAACGCGTCGATAATGCAATGATTAGATCATGGAACGTTTGGATACCAGAATATTTTCAAAATAAATATTCGGATAAGGGAGTCTCTACTGTATACATATCGCATACACCGCAGCAGTTGCTTAACGTTGACTCTCGATATTTCAAGAAAAGAAAAACACAAACAGGAAAACAAAACTCCTACGGGTAGAGCATTAACCGACTCTCTTGGCAATTTTTCAGTTCGTAAACAGTTTCGACGGTTAAGGTCGGGCAAGCGCGGCAACTCGTAAAAGTATCGTGTCCGTCCGTCCGTCCGTTGTAGCGCGGGTCCATTAATCAGGCTTCTTTCTTTTCCGCGCACGTTTTTACGCCGTCCGCGAAGCTGCGCGCGTTCGATAAATGTTACGCGACTGTGACCCGGCCGGATGAATGAATTTCTTCGGAAAGGAACTTTTCGTAACGGGAGACCTCGCTTTCTAGCTGCCGTCGCATTCCGATTGCATAGCCACATTTTCGTGACCGTTTCACGGCGTTACACTCGGTAACGAGTGAAAGTAAATGGATGCTGCATAATGTGTGTCCGTTAAAACAACCTCGAAAAGTCATCCGGGACACGTGGGCGGATCGGGATCGTTCTCAGCCGGCCGGAAACAGCGAATTGCAGCTTCGTCAAACGGTCGTCGGCTCCTTCCGCGAAGCAAACCGTCGATGCACGACCGGTCTGTCCATTTCGATCCGAGTTAGTTTGAAGATCGGATAATTTCAACGCAGAATACGCGAGTGTCTATACGATCGAGCTCTAACTGTACCTATAGTTCCTATGAAACACGCATCGCTGGAGACCTCTATGAGAGGGTATCTCAACAGCTCTGAGAAATTCCGATCGTGTGAAAAAAGAAAAAATCAAAGTGAGCGGCCGACCAGTCTCTATGTATATCGCCAGTATCAGCGAAGAACGAGTTTCTAACTCGCACCTGTGTCTCCCCGTACACCGGGGCGGGCAGCTTCGGTTTCTCCTCTTCCTCGCGTAGTTCGTATCGCTGCCAAGAGATGGTGTATGCTCACTCTCGATTACGAGTCTGCTAGGAGTTGCCTGTAATTGGTACGATAGTACGAAACCCGGGACTAATCGACCAAGTCCTTTCTCGCTCCTCGAGGACTCCATTCGGCTTCGTCGATTACCACTGTCCGACACGATTTTTGGGTTCCTATAGCCACTATGAAATTCTTGTAGAGCTTCATTCCCCGAACAAGAATCCGAAAACCGAATGGCTCCATCGTCCTCAGTTTTTTAAATAAACGAACTTTTGTAAAAACCCAAAATTTTCGACAAAAATGAGGCATTGCATGGAAAGTACAAACGTTAGAATGTTCTAATTGGTGTTAAAAGATAGAGGAGAGTTTCCCGAATATAGTGGCATGCAATTTATTAATTGTTTTTGGTCCTAAATAGCAATGAATTGATGTCAAAGTTGAAAAAAGTGTCGACGTGAGCAGTTTGTGCGCAATATTTTTGTATTTTTACGAAAAGTTCTTTGTTCAGCACGAAAACTCTATCCAGGATCGGATTCTGTGGACATTTCTGAAGAAGAAACGGCCCGGTAGAAGTGTCGGAACGATGTACATTTTGAGTAGGTCGAGAAAATGTTCGTCGGCAACATGTACACGATGTTTTGCCGCCATGTGCTTCGCTGCTCGCTTCTCTCTGTCCGACAGGGCCGAGGCTATGGGTAATCAACACCGATGGAGGGATCCAATGGGGCACCCACTTAGCGTGTGGGGCGTGCCATTTTTTTTTAGTACTTCAATGTGCTGTCTTCTTTTACATATTTTTATGGATAATAATCACCAAACTGTGAATCATAAATTAAAAATGGAGAAATAATAAAAGAAAAATAATGAACAAAAAATATTCATTTTATTCTGAATTTGTTCGAATTACAAGTATATCATGTATACAGTTATCATTTAAATTATAACGATAATTCGATCATGAATAAATAATCATTTTCAAAACGTTAAACTTCTTGAAACATATCGTTAAATATATATTTAAATATTTATTTAATTATATGGCGTAGAAGTCAAAATTATACTAGTGTTAGAATACTTTCGTTACCAACTCCAAATACTCTGGTGTGATTTTTTGTGTGAAATATATCACAGTTTGGTGATTATTATCCACAGAAATATGTAAAAAAAAAACAGAACATTGAAGTACTAAAAAAAATTCAAATATTATTTACGAAAAGTGGGTGCCCCATTGGATCCCTCCATCGGTGTTGATTACGCATAGCTTCGGCCCTGTCGGACAGAGAGAAGCGAGCAGCGAAGCACATGGCGGCAAAACATCGTGTACATGTTGCCGACGAACATTTTCTCGACCTACTCAAAATGTACATCGTTCTGACACTTCTATCGGGCCGTTTCTTCTTCAGAAATGTCTACAGAATCCGATCCTGGGTAGAGTTTTCGTGCTGAACAAAAAACTTTTCGTAAAAATACAAAAATATTGCGCAGAAACTGCTCACGTCGACACTTTTTTAAACTTTGACATTAATTTATTGCTATTTAGGACCAAAAACAATTAATAAATTGCATGCCACTATATTCGGGAAACTCTCCTCTATCTTTTAACACCAATTAGAACTTTCTAACGTTTGTACTTTTCATGCAATACCTCATTTTTGTCGAAAATTTTGGGTTTTTACAAAAGTTCGTTTATTTAAAAAACTGAGGGTGATGGAGCAATT